TTAATATATAATTATTATTTTCAAATATTGTCTATATAATTGCAAACAACTTTTTGGATTTTTTTTGAAAAACGGTACGTTTTGGCACATTATTTTTTATTTATTTACTCTAATAATCATTAAAAATATTGCATGAGAGTAATTTTTATCATATAAATTTAATCTAATATATAATTGACTATATTTTATGTTTATTTTTCTCTAATTATTAACCGATTTTCTTGGCGTTGACCGGGTTAACCCATGACCCACTAATATCGACCTAGCAAGTGATTGGTTCACGGGTCAATCCGGGCAACGCCAAAAAAATTGGTCAATGTTTAGTGAAAAAATAAACACAAAGTACAATTAATTATATACTACGTATTAGATCAATTTATATGGTAAAAAATTACTCTTATTTGGAATTTTAATTCTTATAAGAATGAATAAAAAAATTAATGGGCCAAAACGTACAACTTTTCAACAAAAAATTAAAATGTGTTTAGAGTTGAATGGACAATTAGTTTATCTTATGTTTGTATAGAATTGTTATTGTTTATGTATAAAATTGTTATTGTTTATGTTTGTAATTTTAACTAATTTATTTATTGTTATTTGGAAAATTACACACTTTTGGTCTAATACTTTATTTTTCCTAGTTTATTGCAATTACAAATCTATTTATATTTAAAAACAGTGGAGTGAGCGATTATAGTATAAATACATTGCGAAGCAACTACAAAACAAAGGAGTATGTAGGCGAGTTGGTGGGTCACTTGGGATGCCTTGCTTATGCCCAGTGTTCGAATCCCCATTATGTCTAATTTTGAATATATGGAAACCCTGTGTAGGAAGCCAGGTTTGGCCATTTGAGTGAGAATCGCCACACACGTGTGCAAAAGAGAAAAAAATGTGTAAGAATAGTTGTGAATCTCTAGTGTCAATCACCTTAGAGATGGGACTATACTATCCAAAGAACATGTATTGTGAACAAACTACTCCACATGAATGTTATTTGGTTATGCACCTTAAGATAAGTTTGAATGTTTGATTACAAATGCTTATGCCACCTCCCGTCCCCCATCCGATTTACCCAAAATTTTTGTCAAAAAGAAAAATAGGAGATAAATTTAGGACGAACCGAAATGGAAAGAATGAAGATAATTTTGGGTATTTATATACGGAGTAAGAGAATAATAAAAAGGAAAACAAAAAAAAGTGAAGGATGACCTGCTATTAAAGGTCACATTTAGGTATTTTGGCTCAAATGACTGTTTTTTGAATGTAAATGGGTATATATGACCTTTTTTTATAGTACATGAGTTTATGTGAACTATTTGCAATTGTAGAAGGGTCTATTTGACCCCTTTCCCTTTTTTATAAATTATACGGAATAGTATAAATATACTTCTACATGCATATGTGTGTGTATAATAAATCATAAATCCTTTGGTCTTATAATATATTACTACGTAGTATCTATATTTGAATGAGATGAACGATGAATGATTAATGACTCTATTATATACGAGTTTTTTATACGCGCGCTGCACGATTAGGAAAATGCCCAATGTTATATATGAACAATTAAACATCGAGTATGTTTTTCTAATCTTTTTTCATTAGAGATGGGACTATAAAGAACATGTATTGTGAACAAACTACTCCACATGAATGTTATTTGGTTATGCACCTTAAGATAAGTTTGAATGTTTGATTACAAATGCTTATGCCACCTCCCGTCCCCCATCCGATTTACCCAAAAAGTGTCAATACAAACACTCAAGAGACAACAACTTTGTGTCCAATACAACCGCTTGCAAATTAGAGATGACAATGATGTAACAAAAGAAAAAAGAGATCAAATACGGGAAAAAGGATATTCTCCTTTAAGTATTCCAGTAGATAACCTTAATCTACCTGAGATACAAAGGCTGAAATAAGTTTGGATCTACTGAATTGGTCTGTACTCTCTAGTACCAATATCCGTTAAAACTGTCACATACAAAAGTTAGAGGGACTTCTTGCCTTCTTTTGTTATAAAACATTTCAGAGATGCCTAACCCCAATAAGTATTTTGAAATAAGTATTTTGTAGGCTCTGGAATCTCTCATTCGTCCATACTCCATACATCCTGCAAAAAGTACCTTATAAGTTATACTATGAAATGAATTTCTATGGACTCTGTTGAAAAAAAGCCCAGTAAAAGACATGATCTCTTGACTTCTGCTTTCTCACATGAACTTTAATTGTTCTCTAAAATAAAATAAAAGTAGTTCAAAAGAGATCATAACTTACTTTTATCTTAGTTGATGCTGCTCATGTGTCATATAAGCATGAGTTATAACACATATATAGGTATCAAATGGAACTCCATAGTGGGATAAATTTAATAACCACTACGTTTAACAATAACAGGAGAACTTGATCTGCTAATTATATTCTTTTGAAAAAATTAATAACATACACCTCATGGGCAACTTGGCCATTGGCCAATCTATCCTCGTAAGGACCCTAAAACTCTAAACAATTAGGTTAGTTTTGAACTTTAGAGCATCCATTAAAAAGCAAACTTATGAAACAAACCACCATTCATAAATAATTTGGACAAAACCGTTAATACTATATGCACAGTGTTTTAGGAAAGAGTTATTTTTTTGATTGATTAAAATCTAGGATAAGTTTAATTAGGAAAAGATTTTTAAAATATACTAAATTTTCAAAGAAAGGAGATGTCTTAGCTATTCCAACTCATTTAACATATTATGTTTCAACTTTTTACTTTTGTTTGTTCAAGATTCAAATTTAATAGTTTGGTGTGTTAGCCATTCAAAATTTTGAAAAAAAATATTACCATTTGTCCTAATGCATCTCATTTAGTGGTTTAGGCATATCTACAAGCACCTAGTATGCTACAAAGAATTATATGTTTCTCTTCCAAGTTAAGTTCATACCAAAATAAGGTCCTGGGATTTGAAAACTTGTTGTACAATCTTTGTAATAAGGAAGCCAAATATATGAGATTCAGTAAAGACGTAAAGACCTAGTCCGGGAGGAATATGGAAAAGCAAAGCTAGAGCACTAAGGTGGAGGAAAGTATTACCTATTTGGCTATTTCTTATCGCCTTAATGTCGACACATCCTACTCCGGGGGGAAGCAGCTGGTGGAGCGATCCTCGGAGACACCCAGGGAAATTTCATAGGCCCAACTTACTACCGGCTAAAGGCAGACTCTGTCCTCCAGGCGGAATTGGAATCAACAATCCAAGCAATCCGGATGTATACTCATCTGGGCTACCAGAAATTGCAGGTGGAAACGGACTGTGAAGTGCTCTGCAAAGTCGTTAACACATCCTCGACCAACTCAGAATCAATTCGAAGTCAATAGCTCTCATCTGCGAGTGGAAGATCCAGTTCCAGTTTAAGCTCGACAATGCCTTTCCACAAATTAATCAGGCCATGCATCTTCCTGGGTCAGGAGGCTTGGCAATGAAGAGTTGTGGTGCTTTTAAGTTTTAACCACGAAAGCCAGATACTCCCACTCATTATGAACAATCTCCGCATTCAATGGAATGTTATTTTAACGGATGTAGACAGTGAAATGAAGAGTTTCTTTTTTATGTTTTAACTGAGATTAGTAATCGTTATAGATCTTATAGATATCAAAACAATGAGTACAATCACTCAGATGTAGAGTACAACTGCATTATGATGAGGTGTTACACCAACAAATTTTATATTCCTAAAAGGGCAATAACCCTCATTAACATTTATAAGTTTTTAGATTTAGATTAGATTTAGATAGATAGAATTTTAATTTATATATTGTATTATTAATATAAATAGATAACCATTCAAGTCTAAGTACCTTTTTCTTAATTTTTGAAAACTTTATCTTATTTTGACTTTAATTTAATATATTATCTTTTTAATAATTATTTAAAGATAAAATTTGTTTAGATTCAATTGGTAGCAACTACACACTAGGGCTGTTAACGAACTGAGCTTTTATCGAACTATTCGAGCTCGAGCTCGAGCTCGGTTTCGAACCTAACGAGCCGAGCTTAACGAGCTTTCGAATTCGAACCCGAGCTGAGTTTTAAGTTCGAAAAGTTAATCGAGCCGAGCTCGAACATAGTAGTATTCGGCTCGGTTCGAACTCAAGCCTATCGAACATCCTAAAATTTTAAATATAATTTATATATATTTCAAAATTTAAATATAATTATTATCAATTTATGAATTTAAATATGATTATTAACAAACCGAATACTTGTCGAATCATTCGAGCACGAGCCTATTAACGAGCATCGCCTAAAATTTTAAATTCAGGCATATTTATCGAGCTTATCGAGCGCTCGGTTCAAACATCGAACATCTATCGAGCCGAACGCGAGCCTCATTTGTAAAGCTCGCCGAGCTTCGAGCTCGAACACGAACACCCCTAATTCCTTAACGAGCCAAATTCGAGCTTTGGGTGTTCGGGCTCGGCTCGTTAACACCCCTACTACACACAAATAGAAATGCATAGTGCTAAATGCTAATTAGGTTACGGCGGGGCGGGGCGGACCCGCCCCACATGGGACAGGGCATGGGTCAACAATTTTGGACCCATGCAGGTCACAAGGCGGGGTGGGTCGACCCGATAAAGTCACAGGGCGGGTCCGAGTCTTGTAGTACCCACCCCGACCCATTGCCATGCCTATGTCAAACACTCGATTCATGAGAGTTTCACTTAAATTGCATTTCTGATTGCCAAAAGACTCAGCCATTGTTTATAAATGCAGACAATATGGGGACACTTCAAAATAGTCGTCTATAACTTCATAATTTACTTGAAAATTATGAGGAGAACCAATAAACTTCAAATCTCAAAGAATTCCTTGCTGATACAAGAATTTACCTGAACTGAGCATCGTCCCTATATATACACACTAATCACCACAAGAAGTCAACTGTGGATTATATTAAGTTGCAATGCGGATTGGAAATGTATATTCTATGAATATCTATTGTGCAAATTACTGAAAACAACTCATTGCAAAAGTCTCGAATACAGTTCCATTTATAGCTTATTGATTCATGTTCTGTACATCAAGAATCAAGATGCTCCAAAAAGAGTTGTCTCACTTAAAATAGCAATTCTGATAACCAGAATGCTCAACTGTTATTTACAAATGCAGCTAAGATGTGGAACCCATTCTAAATAGCAGTTGTTTATATGTTAGCTAGTTTTGATTGATCTAGTGGTTTCTTGTGAACTAAGAGTGAATAATCTATCTACTTTAAATCTCAAAGAATTCCTTAATCATTCGATTTTTCCCTTCCTGCTTCCGATAAATGTCAAGAAACTCTCTAAAATAGTAATTCCGGTAGAGTGGAGGATGACTTTCATCGATAAGATCTTCAATCGGGCCGATCCGTGCATCTTTGTCTGGGCCATAAAACATTGCCAACGACACCCTACTTTGACTTTCATTGGTCACAACTCTATGCAGCACGCTTTTGTATTTTCCGTTACTCAGGACCTATATTACATTCAAGGAGGAAAGTCATACGAGATAAGACAATTTTAGGGCATAAGGAGTGAGAATAAAAAGACCAGAAGTCATGAGTTATTAGCACGGAAACTCTCAGGAAGAAGTACGTTTCCATTTCAGAAACTCTTCGGAAACTCACGAAACAGTTGTTTTTCTAAAAAAATATGACATATCCTGTGTCACGTTTCCCCACGGTTCCCACGTTTCCGTACAACATAGATATTCATGAGTAATCAGCTGGAGTGGAAGAGAGATAATAATTTATGAGTAAAGCCTTTTTTATAGGAATGCCTGTCAGTCGTGTCAAACAATAACTTTAACTACACCATCTCAATTAACTCGTATTGAAAAGTTGCACAGAAATAGTTTTTTCTTTGTGGAAATCGTTGAAAAATTCAAACTTCGTTTTAAAAATTTTCTTTAACTTATTCAAGAAATATAATTTTTTAGATTTTATGAACAGCCAATGAGGTCACAATTGGCCACTCCAGACATTTTAGGCCGGACTAAACGGGCTCTTTAAAGAGTTGATGTTGCCCCTAAGGTAGGGGGAAGTTGTCCCCTTCAGAAATAAAAAAGTAACTAACCCCTTAGGTTTTTAAATAGATAACTGCAGGTATCACAAATGAGGTAGTAAAATATTATATGGTTTTCTTATTCAAACCTGAAGTTGATCACCAACGTTAACAACCAATGCATTTGGAACCGGATCAACTGCTACCCATTTGTTATCCTTCATGATTTGTAAACCCGCAACGTTAGGAGTTGGTAGCACAACTGTGAGCGCATCTCTATCCGTGTGGACCCCCAATCCAAGTGTAAGGTCTGGATTTGGACAAGGCGGGTAGTAGTTCGCTTGTGCTCTACACAAAGGGTCTTTTCCCAATCTCTTCTGTAAATAATTTCCATCTTCCAATCCCAAGCCTTGAGACATCAAACTTAAAAGCTCACCCATTAAAATCCCAATCTCCTTAGCATATGCCGTGACTATGTTCCTTAAGTCATAAAAAAAATTGATCATCTCCACATAATTAATGATGCAAACATGAATAATTTTTAAAAGAATATTAAAAAAACTTACACTGTATACCAATTTTTTGTTTAAAAAAGGGTTGATGAAACATTGTTACATTATTAGCTATTAATGCACTCTGCGTACATACCATATTATCTAGTAACTTACCATCTATTCTCATCACATTTAGAGGGGTTATTTGACTTATTTCGCTAAATGGCTAAATTTGTATAATTTTATGAAATTAATTTTTTTATCAATAAAATCAATTTCAGCCAAATGATAAGTTAGAAGCTGCTTATAATGATTATTTCCTTATTCTCCACTTCGCTAAATGGACCATGGGATTATTCGTACAACAAAAGGCACGAAAACAGGATTTATGTTTCACTAAAAAAGTTTTTTTTGTTCGTCGAAATATCAATTCACTGTCTAATACTCTAATATGTTTGGATCATTAATAAGGAAATGCATACATTTTTACTCATACCTATAACTTGAAGGATCTGTTGGCAAAATATCAGCAAAACTGTCATCTGTAGGGTGCCAAGGATGTTTGAATACCTCACTCCACATGCTAAATTTTTTCTGAGCATCATCTTTATCATCAGTTTTGCGGTAATGATTACATATCCTTACCTCTCTGGTTGAATCATCGGACACAAGAAGAGCCTTGTCTTGAGAGGGCAGATGGAACAAATCTGTGACAGCAGATAACATGCTTTGACACAATTCCTGTGGCACTTTATGATTCTTTATAAGAAAAAAACCATACTCCTCACATGCTCTCGCAATCTCTTTGATAATGTGGTTAGTTTCTTCACTTCCTATATCAATTATTGGAACTTTATGACCAGAGTTGGATACTTCTGCTAAATTTGGCCTTTTCTCCACGGGAAGGATGAAACTAGGAGTCAGTGAAGGTCCATTTGCCCCACTTGAATAATCATTCCCTTCTATGTTTGCCCACTTGAATGCATCCCTCCTATACGTTGCAGATATTTTGGTGTTCATAATCTTCTCACGTGACGAAATACTAATGCTTGTCATAGGAGATGTTCGTCTCAAATTGATGTTCAAGCTTGTCATATAAACACACCCCAGTGGAGGAGTAAATTTAATCATCATCATATGCCTGTAGAATCACAGCTCTTTTTGAGACCTGTGTTGCACGAATACATGTACTGAAGTTTAATCAAAACTGGGGTAAGGTGTAGGTTTATACAAAAACATAAATCTACATGTATAATTATACTCCGAGTATTTAATAACAAAATAGTGGGAGGAAGATTTAGGGCGGGAACACTGTAGCCAGTTCTTTTGGAGTGGCTTTTATTTGATGTAATGACGATGCTATGGATAGACGAGATGGCCTAAGAAATTAGTACCGAGATGTGAGATGACTATGCAATTCATGTAGATGAATAAATGGTTTATACGTAAATAAAAGGCTGCCACGTAAAACGTGGAAAAACAATTAATTTAATTTGTCATAATGATGCAACAGAAAATCAAGATATGGCTGGACGTACAGTTAATTTAATTTGTTGCATCATTACATTAATTTTGCCGAGGCAGTAGTATTTTCTAGAAATTAGATATGAATTGTTGGCTCTATGCACCAATGTTTCTGACTCTTGGACTTCTCAATACTGATTTGATTCTATATAAAGCATAACATTTTTGCATAAGTGGAACATTGTGAGGCTGCCCAGCCAATCATCCATTGAATACCGCAGTAATCCTCCATCTGGCCCATCACCAGGTACAAAAAATCTTCAAAATTTACTTCTAAAAATTTACTTCTCGACTTATACCCAGCAGGTGCTATTTTTCAATAGCAGATAGCATATAGCGAGTGCTCAAGGTGTATTTTTCCATAATAAGGCGAGTGCTCAAGGTGTAATCTTGCCTCTATGCATCAAATATTTCAATATTTTGATCAATCTAGACAAATATAATGAAATGCTACTACCCATTACGGTGTAAGTACACATAACACATTTTTTTCTACACCTACTTATAAAACGTCAAGTTAAGAAATGTAAGTTGTGTGCATAAGGCATAGTTTTTGTATTCAGCTTACTCTAAACCTTCATAGAGGTAATTATCTTTTGTATTTTTCTTTTAGTTTCTTTATTCAAATTACATAGAAAAGTATTACTTCCTAATCTGAGGGCGTGAATGATTATGTTTGAAGTTGCTCACTGTATAAGTATATATAATAGCAACACCTTAAGATTGATGTAGAAAAAACTGTGTTAAGTAGGTTTCAAAACACATACCAGCTTAATCTAGACACTTAAAATCGTGCTTAAATAAATATAAATTTAAGGTCTTTATATTCAATATTGCAGTTGGTGATCAAAACCAGCATGAAAAATCTTTATTACACAGCAGTATACATGAGTTTTCCGTGGCTCACTGGAGAGAAGAAAGTGTACAATTGTTTGTGATTCACCATATTTAGTGAGCAATGTGTTAGTTGTCTATTAATGGACAAAACTGAAGCAAATGAAGATTTTGAAATTTTAATTTTGAAATAAAAACTCCAAGTAGCAAGCAACTTAGCAACCATTCATTACAAAAATATATAATAAGAACCTAGCAGCATTCCGACAAGCATCAAATAGATAAACAACGAAGGTGAAAAATCTTTTTGGAATTTGAATATTTGAGAAATAAGCGAAGTGTAGCGGAAACAATACTGTGTGCGACGAAATTTTTTATTTCCTTACCGAAGGGGGGATCCTTTGAACTGGCTTAGATGATTTGAGAAGGTTGGAAGGCAGAATCGAATTAGTCCTCGGAGGACCAATTCCAGGATTGAGATATAGGGAGGGCTAAGCAGTAAAAAAATTGTTACTATACATACAAGGTTTAGCTTAGGGTTGTTATCGAATCGAGCTTTTTTTTTTAATTATATACTCGAGTTCGAGCTTGATTTTGCCTCTAATTTAATGATCCGAGCTTAATGAGCTTCAAACTCAAACACAGACTAGGTTTTGAGTTTGAATAATTATTCAAGCCCAGTTCGAACATAGTGATGTTTGGTTTGATCCGGACTCGATCCTATCGTTTACTTACAAATTATAGGAATAAGTTATATACGAAGTATATCTTAAAATTTAAACGTTTTTCAGTGCAATTTTATAAATTTATTACTGATTCTTAAAGATTCAAGTTTTTATTGAATAATTCGAACATGAATCTATTAACGAGTATAGTCTAAACTTCTACATTCGAGCATGTTTATCGTGTGTTAAAGTTGAACACTGAAAATCTATTGATCCAAAATCAAGCTCAATTGCATAATAAGTAAATATTCATTTCATTTTTCTTTCTTGTCAATATGTTCATTATCCATTCTAAAAACCATTTTCAATATTGGTATGAATTAAAATACTTCTATAAAATTATAAAACTAATAAGAAAAAACAATCATTGTACATAAAACTAATAAGTTTTCCCAATTTCAAAATTCAATTGAGAATTTCAATTTTTCTTACATGTCCACACAATAAATAAATCATTCTCTAATCTTCAATTGTATAATCAATAAATCGTTCTCTAAGATTTCATTCTATCTTTAATCATTATAAATTTATAATGATTTTTTTTTGTATGTACTGAATTTTTAATTAATAATGAAGTTGATTAACTAACGGAAGGACGGCCAGAGACTCAATTAATAATTTAATCATTCTGATATTCTCAAATATATACGGCCAGAGAGTATATATTTCAATTCATAATTTAATCATTCTCTAATATAAGGCCAGAGAGTAAATATTTCAATTAATAATTTAATCATTCTTTAATATAAGGCCAGAGAGTAAATATTTTAATTAATAATTTAATTATTCTCTAATTCACAAGACAAGTTAACAAAAAATTAAAAAATTAATTATTCTCACATATACGAGACAAGTTAACAAAATCACAACATAAGAAAGTAAAGATCTAACAAAAAACTCACCTGCAAGGCTGCGCCAGAGCTGGAGGCAGAGCCCGGAGAGGAAGGACGGCCGACAACGCAGCCTCCTGGGACCTGGAAGGCTGGACGCGCGGCGCGGCGCGGCTGATGGCTTGGTGGTTCGCTCTTCGTCGCAGGGTCGCAGCTTCTCGCCTCGCAAGCTTTTAGTTTCTTCGATTTTCTTTCTTTCCGCAGGATGTTGATTCTGGCTTTAGACTGTGGGCCGGGCTGAGGTTAATTTTGGGATGGGCTGCGAATAAATTTTGGGGTGGGCTGATAATAAAACCTATACCTCTACTAATTAAAAACATATATGGGCTGGGCTGGAGCCCTGAGTCCTCCGATTATGCGCAAATTATACCGTGTGATCGGCCCAGCTTGCGCAGCGTGTGCTGATCCCAAACGACGGTGTTTTGTTTAAAAAAAAACAATCTGCCGACTCCCAATTTGTAAACCCATCATGCCCTAGCTGATTTGATTTGGAGCAAGGAAGAAGCGTCGGGAGTTATGGATCCTGATTCTTGTTGAGCCGCCCCCCACCAAGCCTGAAGAAAAAGCTTTGCTGTCCTACAATGGAATCATCTGGCAGCTGCGTATCTCTGCTCTCAAGCTGTCAAGCAACAGCCCGTCGATCGATCCAGGGCATGGATGCGTGATAAGGAGATGGGGAATTGAACTCCGGCTCCTAACTTTGGGATTGATTAACTGCATCGGAGATAGCCATCTTTGAGAATCCCCCTCCTTTTTGTGTATCGTAGCTTAAGTTCCTCACTGTGTATTAGTTCTTCATTGAAACGATGAGTTGACTCTTTATTGTCCTATTGAGCCGTCCCTTACGAAGTTACATTTCTAATAAAATGATTTACATTTACATTTATATCAAGTTACATATTTAATAGCGTGAGTTACACTTCAACTTTCATCAGCAAGTTACATTTTCTTTGATGGAGTATATGGCCCAGGAACCCCCGGCCCATAGACTCCTACTTTCCCCACCTAGGCCCATTGAGCCCAAGGAACATCTGAGGCCCAAATACAGCGGCCCAAGTCTCAAAGAAGCCCAAAGTACACACTGGGGTACCTTCGGCCTTCTTGGCCGAAGGCTCCAAAACTCACAGGATAACCTTTTTTGGGCATACGAAGCTACTGGGAGAAAACGACAGAAAAATGAGCCTTCGGCATTGTAAGCCTTCGGCATCAGGAAAGCCCTCAACTACACATGGCCTTCGGCTACACAGGGCCTTCGGCTACATGAAGCCCTCGGCCACACGAAGCCCTCAGCTGCATGAAGAGCCTTCGGCTGAACAGACTCAATCATCGAAGATTCCCTTTGGAGACAGCCAAACCACCGCATTTAATGCGACGTCACATCCACCCACCGCATTCAATGCGGTGAACATGCCACTGTCGGTTCCACTCCGATTGATGTGGCCCTTCGGCCGTTGGATTACTGACACGTGTACCCTCATCGCATTTATTGCTGCTATAAATAGCAGCCCTTATTCTCCTTGTAAAACACGCTGAGTTCATTTAATAAAATCGACTCTCTCTCCTCCTATTTTGCTCTGACTTCTCTCTAGTTATTCCCGCAATAACCCCTCGGATAAGATACCCCCCGGGTAGACTATCCATCATTTGGTGCTCGCGTTGAGAGGTCTGAACAATCAAGTGAGAAAACCTCCCCCTCCACCAAACATAAAGCACCTACGAAAAATGGGAAAAACTCGTGCTCAGTCCAAAACCCTCGAGGAGAACCACGTAGCTCCCGGCGAAACCAACGGGGCTGAGGCCTCCAACAGGCTCTTGGTACCCGAAGGCGGTACCATCCTCGAATTGGAGCAGGCCGCTACTGACCTCCGTCAGCAGCTGCAGAAGAATGCCCCTGATGCCTGCATTGGCCTTGATAATCGAAGGAGGGATCGGAGTGAGAACCAAGTTCCCCCTCCGGCCCTGGCCATCGATCTTCAGGCTGCCTTTGCGGCCTTTGTCCAAAACATGGCTCTCAACCCTGGAGCCTTCGTCTCACAGGCACCCCTCCAACCCTATGTCGGGGGAAATGTTGTTCATTTTCCGCCACTCCCTCCTCTGTTCAACAATCCTCCCATGGGGATTGGCAACGTCGAGGGGGTCATGGCACAGGATACCGCCTCCCAAGAGGCCCAATCCAAGGACAAGCGCCCCATAAACAAGGAAAAACCCCGGACCTCTGCACTTGAGAGGCTAGGGGGTGCTCCCGGACACCGAGGGGTCCAAGACCGCCTCGGTAAGCAAGCAATTAGCAGGCCCCAGGAGAGTGGAGCCTCTGCCTCGGGGGCCGAAGGCATGCCTCCCCCTCGGGACAAAGGCAAAGCACTCCTACACCCCGAGGACGCCAGGCATCAAATCAATCAGGCTCAATCCTTCCGGGCTAACTCCCAAGGGGTTGCCCCGAAGGACCCCAAGGACGAAATCATCGAAGCCCTCCTCCGTCAACTCGAGGAGACGCGTCAGGCGCCCCCAGAAACCCCTATGCCGGGGCCTGACCCAGGCTACGCTTCCCTCCGCGCACAAGTGGAGGAACTAAAGCGCCAGGTTGCTGGAGGCCCCGATGAACCCCTCATCCAGCTCCGCACGAGAACGCCTTTCACTCCGAGGGTGCTGGCGGCCAAGATCCCCAACAAATATCGGGGACAATCCATCAAGCCATACGAGGGGAAGACGGATCCCCAAGAGCATTACATCAGGTACCAAAATAGTATGATGATGATGGGAGCATCGGATGAGTACTTATGCCGCTGGTTCCTTTCCACCTTGGAGAGGCCGGCGTATGAGTGGTTCAACTGGTTGCCCGAAGGCAGCAAAGACTCTTGGCAAGAACTTGCCCGCCGCTTCCTCACACAATTCGCCGGGAGGCATCGTTCCAAGAAACATTTCTCCCATCTTCTGAACGTAAGGCAACAGAAGGAGGAGACCCTTCGGGATTTCCTGGAACGCTGGAGGACGGCTTCCATCGAAGTCGATGGTGCCGACGACAGAACACTCATGGCCCTCTTCCACACCGTACTCCGCAACGGTAATTTCTCAAGGAGCCTCATTACTGACCCCCACACGATTACACTAAAGCCCTCCAGCGGGGGGACCGATATGCGGAAGCCGAAGAAATTGAGAAGAGCCGCTGGAATCCGGACCCTGCTCAGAGGCCGGAACCGAGAAATCGCCTCGGAGGTCCATCCCCTCCGGCACAACAAAATGACCGCCCCTGGAATAACCAAGCCAGATCCGGAGGCAACTACAAAAATCACCAGAGGGCATGGGCACAACCCGCCATCCTGGAGCACCCACGCACCCCACTGACGCACCCCATCAGCGTCATCTTGGACTTCGCAGAGGAGAGGGGCCTCGTGGAACGCGGCTCTCGCACCCCCCTCGAGATATATGATGTTGCACCCGATGAGCCCTATTGCCGCTTTCACTGACGTCATGTGCATGTGACCGATGACTGCCATCAACTGAAGATGGCCATTGAGAGATTAATCAAGGCGGGCCACTTGTCCCAATTTATCAAAGGCCATCCTACTCAGGGACCCTCTCACCACCATGGGCAACAGCCGAAGGCTCATACGTGGATCAACCCAAACACCACTCCTTTAGGAAATCCACAGGGGAAGAAGCGCGAAATTGGGGGCCTCAATGATGAGGAAGAGGGCTCTCAACAGCAATATAAACGCCACGTCCACATGATTAATGGTGGCAACACTGGTGGAGACTCCACCAGCCAACGAAAAAAATGGGCTCAATCCCTCTACGTTGGGGAGGTCAACCACATGCCCCCAACTAAGAGGCCGAGGGGGGAGCCCATCTTCTTCACAGATGCGGACCTCCCCTCGGGCTCCCTGCCCCATAGGGATGCCCTCGTCATCCGCACAGAGATCAATGACGCCATCATCCTCCGCACCTACGTTGACACAGGTAGCTCCGTCAATGTAATGTATCTCAGTACCTTTCGAGAACTCAAGCTCGATATGGGATCCCTTCGGCGGATCAAGACCCCCCTCTCCGGTTTCACGGGCGATAGCATTGATGCCGAAGGCGTCATCTCCCTGATGGTCGAGTTAGGCGACGGAATCCATAGGGCCAAGCTCGAAGTGGAATTCGTCGTCGTCAACCTCGACTGCGCTCACAACATCATCCTCGGCCGTCCCGCCCTCGAGGACCTAGAAGCTATCATCTCCATGAGGCACCTTTGCCTCAAGTTCCCCACTCTAAGCGGCATCGGATACTCCCGAGGGGATCAAAAACTCTCCCGGGCTTGCTACCTTCAACTCACAAAGAAGGTTAGTAAAACTGAACTCCGCATCGATACCATCACTGCCGCCTTGGAAGGGGAAGAAAATAGGCCGAGGGCGGAACCAGCCGAGGAAACCGAAGACTTTGTACTCGATCCGGCCAAGCCGGAGAGAGTCTTGAAGATTGGAGCCAAGCTCCCTGAAGGCCTGAAGACCGGCATCACTGAAGCCCTCCGCGCCTACTCCATTGTCTTTGCATGGGGGCCGGAGGATATGCCGGGAATCAGTCGAAGGGTCATCACTCACCGCCTTGCGGTAGACCCTTCGGCAAAACCCATCCAACAAAGAAGGAGACCCCTCTCGGCCGAGAGAAGGGAATTTGTGAAGAAGGAGGTAGCCATGCTCCTCTCTATCAAACACATCAAGGAGGTAAAGTACCCTTCTTGGTTGGCAAATGTAGTCCTCGCACAGAAGCCTCCTACTTTCCGCATGTGCGTGGACTACACAGATCTGAATAAGGCGCGCCCTATGGACCCTTTCCCTCTGCCAAACATCGATCAACTAGTGGATGAAACCGCGGGATGCGAAATTATGTCATTCCTCGACGCGTTCCGCGGGTATCATCAAATCTACATGCATGAGGAGGACGCTGAAAAAACAGCCTTCATGACACCTGAAGGCATCTTCTGCTACCTTGTGATGGCCTTTGGCCTCAAGAACTCAGGCGCCACCCACACCCACATGGTGGCCAGGGTCTTTCAAGCCGTTCTAGGACGCACCATGGAGTCCTATGTTGACGACATGATCGTCAAAAGTAAGAAGGCAGACACTCACGCCGAGGACCTCCGGGAAATCTTTGCCATCATGCAAAAATTCAATCTCCGACTGAATCCAAAGAAATGCACCTTCGGCGTGCAAGGAGGAAAGTTTCTGGGCTACATGGTTAGCCGAAGGGGTATTGAGGCCAACCCCG